CGAACCTGTGACGCAATTATTAGAGAATGTGATCGTTAATCAAGTTTTCAGGCATCCTGCTGTCGTTTAAATTTTCTGGCTTTGACTAAAGTCACAAACAGATAGGGAAACATTCAATCTTTAATTAATTATATAAGTTCCATGGCTTAGGCTTCAAGTAGACTTTTCTCCTATTATGAATGTTAGTCGTTCTTAGACCCTTTTATCGCATGACCAAATGCTCGAATCTAGTTCTTCTAAACGGAATAGGTGAGGGTCACGTGATGAAACAGTTGTTATGCTACTTGTGCAAATTTCGCCAAACTAAACAATGCCCGCTTTGGACTTGGCGAGGTATCGGAAGCAACGACAGAATCGCGAAAGGTCAAGTCAACCGCAGCTCGCCGGCCGATGGTCAATATCGCATAATGACCTGCGCATGACTAGCAGATGACCTTACCACTTGCTCAATCATTGTCTGAGTTCTACTGGTGCAAAACAGCACGGGTCAAAGTGCAAGTCCGCTTCTTCGTTGAAATAAGTATAAATTTTCTTCCGCGAGAGTAAAGTTTTTAGGTGTTTTTGGACTCCAGGAGAACGATTTGTCGCAGTTGTTGTTTTGCTCAAGTTCATTGAAGATTATCGTATTGTCATCGGTTGCTCACATCTGTCAAAGTTAAAGAAAAACTTGCAGAACGTGTCAGGAACGTGCGGTGGCTTTACTTTGGCTGGCACTGGCGACTTTCTTTACAGCTGCCCTCATACCATAATCACTTGAAACCTAGTTTGCTTATGTTAATCGTCAAAGTTTACTCTTGTTCTATGCCGTTTTAGAGAGCGTTAGACTCAATACCTTATTCGATCATCCGTAGTCCTATTGAAATTGTTGCGGCAGACGTGTGGACTCTATCGCACCTCGTAAAATACGGTACTGGCAGCTATGCTATTCCGAAGAATCATTGTGAGATACGGGTCAAAACGTAGTAAACTGTTCGCCATGATAAGTTAAAAAAGGCATACTTTGCTCTGCTTTTGAGAAATGATCTGTATAGTTTTAGATGTGAAATTTTTGATAGATGTTCTTTGTAAATCTTGCGGACACTGCTGATCAAAGTGAAACTTCGACTACGAACTATCATTATTATTGTAGTAGGCATATCGAAAGCTTATGTGATTCAACTAAGGCCGTAACTGATGATACACTAATACCATCGATAATAGTAATAGTAATTAATAATTGGGGTTAAGCCTATGCGGATAACTGCACTGGGCATTTAGCTGTCAGGTGGATCAAATGCGGTCACATGGAACGCTCCCATGACACTGAGTGGCCATTCTAGCATGACCACACCAGAATACCCTGCTCTCCCTTTTCTGGTATGACAGCAACTAACGACTACCCTTTTCCTGGCTGGTTGCACGAAGCAAACTGCGGTTACTTCACTGTTCAAGGAAAATCGCGGTAAGGACAAAGTTATACGGTCAGCAGATTCCCACACCTAGGGTTCAAAGCCCACCTCTTTCCGCTGCACCACCATGCCACAAAAATTCTGGAGCGTTTCTCGACTTTGCGTGTCATTCTTGCGCAGGAACCATGCTAATCATGTGACATCGAGTGGACAACTGCTACTTCTCGCAGTGATTATTACCATAGTTCAGATGAGTCGCCAAACGATGGGGTCCTGTCACTGACCTTCCTTCTTCCATACCTGATCACAAGCACTTATCTCTGAAAAGGAAGCCATGGAACTACTCACTGTTCTTGTTATATGGCTGCTATCGACTCTGCCTTTGAAATTATTTACTCCTGGCTGATTTCATATAAATGGACATCAGTCAACAAATCGTGAATGTTACGAAAGGATAGGTGTCAGAAATTACTTCATCATGAGTGTTAGGAAGCGCGAAATTCTGCGGATGCAAACTTTCTTTTCCATTTTCCTTTGAGGGACCGTCTTCAGATGCGTAGACCTAAAGAAGGGATTCTTTGATGTCAAAATTGAGGAGTGACCTAGAATTCTGGACTTGCCTGGGTAGATTGGACCAAAATCCGTATACTTGATATTTTTTTGACAGAGACGATCTCAATAGCTGAATGTATGTTCATGGAGTGAAACAATACGCGTGTTTGATGTCGCATTTTCACAGACTGCAGAGAGAATTAAGAAAACTCAAGACATAGTGGACATCATTGTTTTCTACGTTATTTCATGCTAGTAGAAGCGTTTCTGTAAATTTGTAAATGTGACTTGCACGATGATGGTTTACGCGTTTTGTTCGGCGTATCATTGGATCGGTATAATGTTCTGATTTTCATGATTTATTTAAGTTTTCGTCTGTCAAACCAGAATGGCTTTTCGTTTGGTCTTCCGAAGGCTGAGTTCCGCGGCGTCTCGGTTCCCTTCCTTCACACACCTCCAAGTAGATGTCCCTTCGCCGTTCGTTGTACACGTGTCACTGAACCGACCGGATAAGTTCAACGCGCTGAACGATAAGCTGTGGCAGTAAGTGACTTTAAAGTTTATTCTCATTTTGTTAAGTTCTCTGCTAAAGTCCATGTATGCATGTTTATTGATTTATTGATTTGGGTTTAACTATTCGCGACGTAAACAAACAATATCAAAATACTACAAAAAATAAAATGGTTTAGGGTTACAGTGTATCGATATCGTGCATGTAATTGTTGGCGTATTTAAGTGAAGGTTTTGATAGGTTTTCGGTACGCGTTCACCGATTACGCCAGCTTAGGGGGGGGGGTGAATTCAATCCTCTGTTCGAATTGGCAACCATACTGAAATACGGCAAAGAACGATTCATTTAAACGCAGCATGAAATAATATCAGCAACAGACAATTCTGATTACACCCTGGGTCTGCCGATTATGATACTGGAGAGATAGATGTTGGGTGGAACAAGGAGAGTTGCAGGCATAGGATGTGCAAGCACTCGCACAAGATAGCACGATCACACCTCTAACCACATCAGACTACCTTGCTTTTTCTATGCTTCGCAAGTCCAAGAAACAGGGAGTACAAAAATTTCTAATCGTTGGAGTATCGGCCTTCCTAACATTTACACTATATTGGGTCATTTCTGGCGTTTGTCCTTTCATATAGTTAATGGTGAGAGGTAGATCTTCATTTCTATGTCATCAGGCAGGAGTGCCATATTTTAAACGCAGAATCGGCCAGCAGCTACGTATCATCTCCTGTTTCATTTTCACAGAGTGAAACTCATTTATCAATTTCAAAAGCAACGAGGGCAAATGTCCCGACAGGAGCTCGATTCTGAAGCCTCCCGGTTCTGAGTTTGAATCTCTACTGAGGATCAGCGTTTTAATATTGATTTCTCGGTTGATTGCACCTAAGCAGCTTGGGATGAATTACTTGGTCAGAGGGATTAGCTGTTAAGAAAAGTTGTTACCTCCTTCGGATTAGAACCCGACACGCCCAAACTTCGAAAGATATCTTCTTGCCATTGTACGCTCCCATCCTCTGCGCTTTCGGGTGACAGACCTTTACTAATGTTTCCATCCGTATATCA